AGAGTCTCGATTTAAAACCAAAATATTTTAATTTCATAATTCTCGCTAAATACGCGCCTCCGTTTTAATTGAAACCATCCCTATTAAAAACAATGAATTTGGCCTGATAATGAATTACATTTTAATGACTAACAATTAGATGCTTTTTACTTGGTTGTTTTATCGACACGACGGTGGAACGACCCGAACACGTCCGGGCCAACTGTGGGCGTGGCAGCCTCTTTACCCCCAATTTTACCCCACTCCGGCTTCTATTGTAGTCCAAACCAAAGCGAACCATAGCATGGTACCTCGACTTGCAGACCAACCTGCAACAAACAGAAAGTAAAATAACGTCAAGAGACATTGCTTTGGATGCACAATCGGCGAGGGAAGGGGGAAGGGTAAATTTGTTGTGCCTAGAACCGTTTTTATCAATGTATGGTAAGGAAGCGTGACTATAATGGAACTTTGCTGACAAATCGCGAGGAATGTAATCCCCCCTCACCACGCACTGCACTGCTTTTTTCGAGGCGTTCCACCGCATTTTTAGGCGGGATCCCGGGAGATTTATGTGCGAACGTGACATGATGGTGCAGCGAGGCGTGGCGTAGTGCGTGGGTCGGCTGGCCCGCGCCGCCGGGGTCGGCTGCAGCGCACCGCTCACGAAACCTCTGTACCCTCACCGCCGCTCTGCTCTGGTCATACCAAACCAGGGCTGGTGCGTGCACTGTCAGAAAAAAACACAGCAAGAACTGGTCAAGTCCTTGCCTGGTCGCATTGTAGTGAGTAAGGTACAGTATTTTGAGGTACAAAGTACAGTATCCCTTAACATGGAGTCTTATGGGCATTACAGCAAAAAAGTACTACGATCATGTACCTCATCACTTCAAACATACTGTGCTTTTGCTGTACTTTGGTACAGTTGTTTTGACAGTGTGCTCGAGTCGGGCTTGAGCCGGCGGGAGCAAGAGAGAATATTCGGCGCAAAAGAAGGAAAAACTTCACGCGCCCGCGGCGGGGGATAATCCATCTGTTGTGGGAGAAACGCGACGGAGACTGGGGAGTGAGGGGAGGGGTGCACCTGACCTAGCCTGGCCCGGACAAGGCCGGGCCAGAACGGCCCACTGGGCTGGACAAGCGATATCGCAAATCATCACATTCACACTGCGTCTAAACCGTACAGGCCGACCTGAAGAACAGATGTTCGCCGTCAAAGGCGCTGGCCGCGAAGTGCGCCCCAGCACAGCCGCTCAAGATCCACCGAGCGATAGCAGGCGCTCACTGCGGACATCGTGAATCTTGGACTCTGCTCTGCTTTTTCTACTTTCGCTCCTCGACCGATCACACAGAGGTTCATTTGTAAAGCAGCAGGGCGTGGATGTCATGTACGCAGTCAACTGAATACTGTACCCCTTCGCTGAAACTCGGAAAAACTAAGAAACTAAGGAAGTGATCTGCGTCGGTAGCTAGTTCTCTTTCCGTGTGCTGTTCGCCAGTTTAGGATAGGCCTCAAAATAACGTCAACAACACCGGCATCCGTCACCGACTCAACCTTCCCTTCTGCATGGCCGTGTCGTCTGGTGTGGTGGGCGGCTCCTCTTTTGGGTACACCCGGCGATGCTCTGCATGTGCAATGGCTTGTTGAATCATTCAGTGTCATGCGGCATACGCCCGGAACGGTACAGTTACTTTAAAATTCAGCGATCATCCACTTTCATTCAAAACATACCACACTACTTTAAAATCGGATGAGAGAGTTTCATTGCTCGTTGCTCACAATGAGCGTCAACTTTTAAAGATTAACATGATATGTTTTTGCGATTTTTTTTATCAGAAGCACCCAGAGCAGTTGCTCTCGAAAACAGCCCCTCCCTTTAGCTGACTGTGGCCTTGGCGCTGCTTTGATTCGACTCACGAATCCATCCCCGGCGAGTGACAGCTCGGGCGTGCGGGCCGCTACTTGCCATACCAAACATGATGCACTTTCTGCTGGAGGGAACTTGCATTGGAAGAGGATATCACTGAGATCGGTCGCGAACTGGGATGTATAGAAGGATGGTTGTTTACGTACACATATATGTCATTTCATAGAAAGTCTCTGTGCGTACACACATATGCCTGAGGAACATGGTGACTGACAAACCAAGTGTCAAACTGCCGAACACTTGTAAGTGTCCATCGGCAAGTT